TGAGTCTTCCTCTGATTTTGATCCCACATTCTTCTTCATAGAGTCCAGCTTCTCAAACAATTTGCTCAGCATACAGATTGAATAAGTATGGAGAGACAATACAACCTTGATACACTCGCTTCTTAATTTTTCAACCACATACTGTTCCCTTACTCCATTCATACAACAGCCTCCTGTTCTGTTCACATGAACACAATTAAGAACTCTGGGATTCCTTCTCAATGTTAGCCATAATTTATTAAGATCCACATAGTCAAATGCCTTTGCATAGTCAATGAAGCATAAATAGATATTCTTCTGGTATTAGATTTGTGTAAGTTAAATTAATTAATCTGAACCTATTTTGAGCATGAGTACTAAGTCCAACACACTTTCCAATTTTATCTTCATTGTTAATATTTTCCTCTATCATATTCTTAAGTCTAAAAATGATCAACAAAATAGCCAACCAAGCATGATTCATAATATTTGGCCATTTGGACAAGAACAAACTGGGAGGAGGGTAGAGAGAATAGTGCAACAATGAATGAGTGGAAGCCCAAAATCTCTGTAAATGTTTATGAAAATTAATAAAATATAATTATAGAAAAAAAAATAATAATATTTGGCCATTTCCATGGAATAAATACTCCCACCATTTTCAATTTTGATCTATCAGTATGATATCATTGAATGTGGCGTTGTGGAGAAAATCTGTATAATAGCATACTCTTCTATATAGCAGAAGAAATAGAAAGCAGTAGACAAATTTGATAGACATTTAGGAAGCAGAATATTGGCCAGGAGACCAGGAGGAGGAACAAGCAGAGGATCCCAAACCCAAAGCCTTTATTTAAAATCTGAAGGTTTCTGAGGCTCTAAATCTTTACAGGGGACCTTCCCACCTTTCCCCATAGAATTATTGGTGACTTCCAACCAACAACCTTTCAGTTAGCAGCTGGATCTGTTGCTTACTAATACTATGAAGTAGTGGAAAGTACTCATTCAAGTCTGGATGTGTCCCAGTTGAGATGCATGTGAAATATTCTAGTGGAGATGCTAAGTAGGAAGCTAGGTATAAGGACTTGGAAATTAGAAAAGTTATGTTGTAGAGCTGTAAAACTGGCATAGATTGTCATGCAGGGGAAATTTGTGAAGTGAGAAGAAAGAGGTAAGATAAAAGGGTCTTATTAGGGAGAGTTTATCTGGAAACAAAGAGGCAAACCAAAAAAGATTGTGGAAATGTCAGAGTAGAAAATAGCTACAGGCAAAAGAAGAGCTGTTTCAAGGCACAAGAAAGATTTTTGCTGAGAGGTCAATAAAGTGAAGAAAGTAATCTGATAAAGTGATTTACTGATGATGGCGGCTTATGGGTAACTATTGTGACTGGGAACCGGCCCTGAAGTCCTCGTCCATAGGCAGCTCACTGCTAACCCAAAGGCAGTTCCTCTATGGAGAACAGACATTTCATTCAAATTTCTGTTCTAAGCTACCAGTGGTTTCTCAAGAGAATGATGAACAATTTCATCCCTTCTGATTGACAGCCTCACAAACCTACTGGAGGTCAACTGTGAGTCTGTTCCAACTCCACATAACACAATTACAAAATGAGCAAAAGACATGGAAAGACTTTTCATAAAGGAAGATATTCAGATGGCCAACATGAAGAAATGTTTAAAATCACTGCCAATAAGAGAGATGCAGATCAAAAAGCTACAATGAGATACCATCTCACCCCAATAGCAGTGACAAAGTTTAACAGAATAGGAAATAATAGATGTTGGAAAGGATGTGGCAAGATAGGAACTCTTATACATTGTTGGTGGGATTTTAAAATGATACAACCACTCTGGAAAGCAGTTTGGTGCTTCCCCAAAAGCTGAACATAGAAATTCCGTATGACCCAGTTATTCTACTGCTTGGAATATAACTTGAGAAAATGAGAACTGAGGCACAAACGGAGACTTCTACACCAATGTTCATAGCAGCATTATTCACCATTGCAAGAACATGGAAACTGCCCAGATGTCCAACCACAATCGAATGGATTAAGAAATTATGGTACATTCACACAATGGGATACTACACAGCAGTCAGGAGCAATGATTTTGTAAATTACTATCTAACTTGGGAGGGACTGGAGAGCATTATGTTGAGTGAACTAACTCAGTCCCACTAAGACAAACACTGTATAAAACCATTATTGCAGAACATGTATGAGGATCCAAGGATGGGGGGGAGCAAAGGGCTGAGGATGGCGGGGGCGTTAATCATAGCGTCTCACAATTTAATGGGTGGAGGGAGGGCGGATGAAGGAAATAGGAAAGATCCAGTGTGAAAAAACAAAGTATATGAACTTTGTAAATAAACTAGCATAAAATAAAAATTAAAAGAAAAAGAGAAAATATGATTGGAGGGATGAAATGGAAGCCAGAGAATTAATAAGAATTGGGTAACTAGAAGAGTGAGCACAGGCAGCTCCTTCAATTTTGGTTTCCAGAAGAGAGAGACAGTTTGGTAGCTGAAGAGTATGTAGAGAACAGTAGCTTCTGCAGAGTGAAATGAAAATACAGTAAGGAGGGATACACAGATGACACAACCTTGCTTGTTGAGTGAGAAAGCCTTCAAATACTTGCTGCAGAAGATAAAGGAATATGGCCTTTAATACAGCTTATATCTGAACATCAAGAAAACAAAAGTCCTCACCACCAAGCCAATAAATAACATCATGTTAGACGGAGAAAAGATTGAAGTTGTCAATGATTTCATCTTTATTTGATCCACAATCAACACCTTTAGCACCAGCAATGAAAAAAATCAAAAGACATGCTGTATTGGGAAAAATCTGCTGTCAAGGACCTCACCAGAGTACTCAAGAGCAATAATGGTAGCTTGAAAACTAGGATGTGCCTGATGCAAGCCGTGGTCTTCTGAATTGCTTGCTATGCATCTAGTTGGACAATGGAAAGTTGGACTAAGGATGACAGAAGAAGAAATCAGTGCCTTTGAGTTGTGATGTTAGCAAAGTATACTGAATATTCCACCGACTGTCAGGAGAGCAAACGGGTCTGTTTCAGAGATAGTGAAACCAGAGTGATCCTTGGAAGCAAGAATGGTGAAACTTGATTATACATACTTTGGGCCAGTCCTTGGAAAAGGAAATCATGCTTGGAAAGGTGGAGGGATATTGTAAGAGATCCTTCATAAGATTGACACAGTGCCATCAACAAACGAATCCAGAGAAGCTGTGGTATATTCACACAATGGAATACTTCACTGCATTGAAAAACAAAGAACTCATGCAATATTATTCAAAATGGGTGACCCTGGAGGACATTATGCTGAGTGAAGTATCTAGGTCACAAAAGGACAAATGCTGCATGGTGCCACTGTTGTAAAACAGGACTGACCTCGGGGTTGTGGGGAGACTGGGAAAGATGAGTTCAATAATATATACTGCATTGAAACAGATGAGGGAGAAAACTGTTTAAACGAAATATGTGATTAGGTATTTTTGTCATGACAGGAGTCCAGAGTGAAGGCTGCATAGTGGAGTGGACCTGGGGGGGAGGGATTGTAAAACAATGAAATAATTTTGCTTTTACTTTTCCAAGAGTAGTGTACTAGGGGGAAGGGTTTGGAGGGGAGAAAAGTGCAACAGTGAATGAATGGGGGGGGGGGATTTAAAAAAAAAATTAAAAAGATTGACACAGTGCCTGTAGCAATAGGCTTAAGTGTGTCAGAGATGGTGAGAATGGCACAAGGTAGAGTGGGGTTCAGATCTGTTGTTTATAGGGTCACTATGAGTCAGTCAACTGACAGCACAGCAGTAACAACAACAAAGGAGGGAGAAATTTATTTACATTGAAATCTTTGGAAGAAAAGGGGAGGGAAACACCACAAAACTGTGTTCTGGGGGCCTGACAGACAAGGAATTGCCTTGGCAACCCAAAAGAAGGGAGTTTGAATCTACCAGCTGTTCTGCGGGAGAATGTTAATTTCGTCCCCTATAATTGACAGTTTTGCAAATCCACTGAGGGTCCGCTACAAAGTAGCTCCCCATTTAACAGCAATGAGTTTGTGTTTTGAACAGGAGTTTGCAAATATGTTTACAGATAGAATGTTGAGCAAGGCTGTCATTTGGGTGAATGGATGAAGCACGCAGCAAAGTAATTTGCTGGGAATGGAGTGGCCATCTGGTTTAGGAGTGGAGATTTCAGGACAAAGCAATCAGAATCTCAGTGAACAGATAAATGGAGTTACCGGGCTAGTGAGGAAAGAGTATGAGGGCCTACGCGGTGGACAGGGATTTGCTAAAACAAAAGCCAGGTCAGCATGGCTTTGGATCAAAGAGGTTCAGTTGTGTGCTGAAAAGCGCAAAGTGAAGACAACTCGTTTTAAATCGTTTCCTCCTCACTGGAAGAAGTTTAAAGTTATAGTGGTTTGCGTTCAGCTTCTTTCCTCTGAGGGAAGTCGAAGTCCCGTAAAGCAGCGCCGTAGAGAGTGCGAGAAGCGCGAGACAGGCCCGGAATAGGCTTTGGCGCCCGGGATGAGGGGAGGGAGGGAGACGGCGCCCAGCCGCGGTTCGGGGGCGAGGGCCTATTCCCGGTGTGAACACCGAGGCCGCAGCCCGCCACTCCGGGGTTAGGCGGCGCCGCCTCTCCTCGCCCAGGGCTCTGGAGCCACAACCCCCTATCGCTGAGGCACCACAGCGAACGTAACAACTCGGCTTCCTTGTCTCCCGCCGAGCCAGTCAGTCCCTGCCCCTCCTTCTCACACGACCACAGAGCTGTGGTCTGACGTCACCGGCTTATCCACCAATGGTCTGTAGAGGGAGGAGGCCTTCGGGTGAAAGTGACAGGCCTACCAAGCAATCGCCTGAAGAAGGGGGCGGGCTGAGGTGGGATTGGTGTGAGAGAGTGAGTGCGGCGCTCGTGGGGAGCCGCGAGCCGGCGGGCGCGCTGCATAGCGGCCCCTCCCCCTGCCCTGCTCCGGGCGGGCTCCGAGAGCGGCTGGAGTTTCCGCGCCCGGGAGGGAGATGCTGCCGCGGCTCGGGCTCCTTGCAGGTAACGCGCGGGGCCTCCCGGAGCCGCGGCCGCGGCCCCTGCAGGGTGTGAGCCGCTGAGCGCGCCGAGGGGCGAACGGAGTTGGGTGCTGAGCGGGCTCCGGGTCCCTGCCGCCGCCGTTCCCCGAGCCCTGCGGGGCTGTCTGGACTCGGGGGCGGTTCCCACCCGGGCAGTGGCGCTGCTGGAGGAGTTGGCTTCTGCCCCGCTGCGGGGCGCACTCCGGGACCCGGGCTTCGCTCTGGGCTGCGGCCGGGTTAGGGGTCACCGTGGGACGCGGGCCCGGGGCGCCCTGCGCCCTGGTGTAAGAAGAACACGGGACAAAGGGAGCGGCGTGGAGCGTGCGCGCCCCGCCTGCTGGCGCCGGGGGCCTGGGCTGTAGCCCACGGCCCCTGGCTGTGGTCACCCCCTCTCTGCCCCTTGGTGCTCCGGCCGGACGGGCGCTCCCTCGGGCCCCCGAGCGCTGGGCCGCTGCACCACGTCCCAGAGCAGCCACCTGGCCGCGGTGCCCCGTCTGCCCCAGCAAACGCCTCGCGCCTGGCCGCCAGCTGTCAGCGGCACAGGCGTTTGGTGGGCACAGCCGGGCCGTTTGGCCGCCTGCCCTGGGTTAAAAGGCTGCCACCCTGCAGCGCGGCGAGTGCCAGCCACTTTCATGCTCTCGTGCGAAGCAGCGTGAAAGGGGCGTGCAGCCGGCCAGGGCGGCCCAGGGCTCCGGAGCCCAGAGTTACTGGCGTGAATTTAAGAGTTTGAGGGGAAGGAGCAGGTGGCCCAACTACCACCTCACCTCCTGTGAACTCTGCGGGGCTTCTGGTTTTGTTGCTGTTGTGACTACAGAGTGTGTGTGGGGTGTGTTTTCGGTTTGGGTTTTTTGTTAAACCACACACAAAAGAAGGGAGGAGTTAAGAGGAACGGTCTAGCCAGTGAATCATCCCACACTTAGCTCTTACCCCGGAAGAGCAGATGGACAGGGAGAATTCCTTGAGCCACAATTATAGTAAAAACTGGATGGATCCCCTCGCTGCCACCTTTCCCTGCAGCCCCTACCTCAATTCCATCGGCGTAAGATTATGCCCACAGTATTAGATGGGAAAATAGCTATAATCTAGAAAGCTGGAAACTTTTGGGACAGTTGAATTGCAGGCAGCTGTTAAATTGTGAATATCGAACCACACACAGACAATCTTGTCATCGGCAGTGGCTTCCGTGTGTTACTGAATTTTAAAATGTGAAGACAATCACAAAAAGGATCAATAATATTCTGCTCAGCACTGCAGGATGGGGAGGGGGGGAGCGGTGAGGGGATGAGGGGCACGGATGGTGGACACGACCAGCCTCCTCCCTAGGATATGAGAAGCCAGATCTGATTCTCTCAGCAGCCAGGTCTCCTGGAAGCCAGCTCAGAAATGATCAGACCCTTTCATCTGATGAGACTCAGAGGCTCTGTGTCATCTCAGCTGGCAGAAGGCGGCTGGCTGTGGGGATAATCGCTACTAATGTGGCCGGAAGGTTGGACAGAGGCTAACAGGCCCTTCTGTGCATGTGGAAAAGTATTTTTGAGTATGTGACTGCTGCCAGTTTTTCCAGAATGAATCTCACTGTTCCTGCTTGCTGCAGTGTAGGCTGATGTGTCACCTGTGTGTGTCCCCACAGTCTATAACTTAGTCACCTTTATTTTGGGGTGACTTTGTCCTTCTTCTAGTAAATTATTAGCTCATTTAAACTTCTGAAAAGAGAGGCCTGATATTAAAAGTTAGGAAAAACTGAAAGTAAGAGACCGCTCCAAGTAAGACTGTTGTTTGGGGCTAGTTGCTTCTGAACCAAGTTGGAAAAGAGGCATACATGTCAGATAGGGATCAGAGTGCTGACTTTATTACCGGTAAAACTGGATGGTGTACTCTGCTTGGACCCGGCCTGTCCTGGATTTCTTATGTCTCCAGAAGTTAAGCTTACCTAACTAACTGAAAAGCAAGCTCTGATAGTCTAGCAGGTAAGGAGTTATGCTACCAACCCAAAGGCAAGAGGTTCGAATCCACCTGCTACTGTATGGATGAAAAATGGACAATCTCCTCAATGCTGTTTACAGTCTCTGAAAAAATTGCTAGAGGACTCAGATGGCACACAACAGCACCTAACCAAGATCTCACTGGGGCTCCCAGACAAGGCAGGGGCCCACAGCAGAGGGCCCACAAAGAGAAAAATGGAAAGTAAGCGTGTTTTCCTACCTCACGGACTAAGTACAGCGGTGCAAAGGACCAGTCCCCCTCTCCCTCCTAGTGCATCTGTTACCTGAGCACCAGGCCTGACTCTAACCTCACTGGACAAGGGTCATTTCCTTTTCAACGGCGGGTATTGGAAGCCATAACTATGTGTGGTGGCATAGTGTATGTAAGGCACAGGACATAAGGTACCTCTTCCTAAACTATTCCAGGTGACCTGAGACAGTAGTTGTGGCCTGCCCGCAGCAATAAATGATAGCAGCATGAGGGTCCCGAGACAGAAAGTCAAAGATTAATCAACAACTAATCTTCTACAAAATAATAAAGTGATAATGGAAACTGATAATTTTTACCTGGTAAATTTACCAGGTCATCCTGAAGTAAACTGTGGCATCTTAATTACAGGTGAGACAGTTGATCTCATAAGAAGAACATGTGCCTAAGGTTATTCAGATCTGTCTATCCCCAGAGCTTGTGTTCCTAAGCAATGAACTAAATGCTGGGAACACTACTTGGGTTTCTAATGATTACTTTTCACCCACATTTGCTCACCAAAAGCATTTTCTGAACTCTCCCACATACGCACTAACAATAAATCCCTTCAATTATATGGCCACTTGTGGAAACTTCGGGGGCACCAAGGAATGTAGGAGGAAACTAGGGATGGAGTTGTCCATGAGATAGAAGAACAGACAAACTAAAGTAAGGAAGTGAGAGATAGCCAGAACTGAGAGATATTAATGGTAGGCAGGCTTTTTTTTGTCTGAAGGCCCCTGCAGGAGAAAGGAGGTGGAGATCATTCTGAAATTGACAGAGCCATCCTGTTCAGGCCAGGTGTACTAGGGCTCCCCAGAGGTCCATACCCATAGTTGGCCTGGCACATAGTTTGGCTGTTGCTTGAGTTCCAGAATGATCACTGTGCACAACAGCCTGAGTTGAAAAGTAAAGCAAAATAGCCTATTTAATACCACAGATTATATCCTGAGTTAGTATTTCTCCTGTGATGCCTCAATGAACTTTTGTAAAATAATAGCTACATATTTGGGGAAGGGAGAAAGCAGATAACAGCAAGACCAGCTGTATGTTCTTCAACAGCTGATAGCTCTTGTGCAGTTCCAAATGGATAAAAGTTATTTCTTTTCTTCCACATTAATTTTCTAATTTATCTCCCACTCCTTCAGGCAGTGGTAGCTCCCTTACTGTTCAATCTTTTTTTTTTTTTTAAGTAGCAGGAGTAATTTCTGTAGTTGAAATGTAAACACAATGATTGGCGCCTGTGTGGTGACCTATATTGTGTTTGCAGCTCTAATTTGTATCTTTGAGCAGTGTTTTATCCTTTCACTGGGAAAGAAAGGAGGCAGTAGATGGTAGCTGGAGTATTCCCCAGCCCTTGCTGAGATCATGGGTTACATCAGGCAGAGAGGCTCAAGGGACTGGCAATGAAAGAGTTGCAGAGCCTTTCATCTCTGGATTGTAAATCTGAAAGTCCTTCCAACCCCTGGGAAGGGACAGTGTTCCCTTAGAATGGTGTCCTATTGACTGTTTGATCAGTCTCTGTGAGTTCACGCAGCTACAAGCTGATAGAAAAGATACCTGAGACCTGAGATGGCCTATTTTCCTGCTTTCTAATTGATTCAGTAATCTGGAGCATTTGCTTGGAGATCAGAAAACAAATACATCTAAACTGTTTTCCTAATCAAGGAGGATGGGATTCTCTTCATCTCAACATGAAATAAAGGCAGGGGTGTGGGGAATGAGGGCAGGTCCCTAGTAGGTAAGATAAGTTCCTTGGTACTAACAAATGAAATTCCAAAGGGGATGTTCAAAATAAAGTAGTTCTCTGTACCTTCAACCTCATTGAGGAAGAATGAGTAATAATAGCTAACTTTCCATGAGTGTTTATTATTGTCAGGCAGTGTCCTAAGGTTGATATCTCATGTAACTCTATTCAGAACCATATGAGAAAGGCAGTCATGATTTTCTCTTTAGAAGTGATAAAACAGACTCAGAAAGGTTGAGGAACTTGGTACAAGTTGCACAGGATAGGACTGCCCCATATAATCCATACAAAAGCATCATTGGTAGAAATGGAGACAGATAAAATAAGGTTTGGGGCGGTAGGTAGTTTAACATTTCGGTAATTGTGAAGCAGACTCGCATTATGCCCAAGGTCGCTAACAAATAGCAAAGCTGGGAAACAAATGGTTATAGCTTTAATACATTCCCCATTTCAAAGAAAAGATAAAGACATGAATGTATACCCACTCTTCAGTTATTAGCTATTTTGTTACCTAACATTTCATGTTTATGAGCTTAGTGAAAAATCTACCATTCAGCTATTTTGTACATTAACAAAATATGTCTGGCAGTAATGAACTCTGAGAATCAAGGCAAGAATAATACTGGCTTGTGATGGTTAAGATTTTAAGTTGCCCTCATTGGGCTCTGTCTGATTCTCAGTGGTTTGATAGTCATGTAATGATGTAATCATACCCCATTTTTGCTCAGCTGATTTTTACAAAACAGCTTGGTCTTCGACACCCAACCATATTAATAAGTGAGGACTGAGTAGGTTTTCAACCCAACCCTTTCACCAGTATTGGACATCACACCCTCACTTAGAATAGCCTTACTTCTCACATCTCTTTTCAAGATATAGCCAAAGTTTTTTAGGAAGAAGTTGTCTCAGAACAATCAGTCTACAATGTTCTTTTTCCTCTGCCCATCATTGGTATAAACTATTAACCTGGTAACATATCACTTGCCTTGTCTGACCTATATTAAACAGTATTCCTCTTTCTCACTTTTTCTTTTTTTAATTTGCAAATAAATGCCTTTGTGTTCTACAAATATGTTATAAGCTGTTTCATGGTGAGGATTATGTATTCTATGTCCCCTTCACCCACTGTGTTAAGATCCAGTGATGAAGTGAGTTTTTTCCTTCTTGATTGGGGGGGAAGGGGGAATGGTGGCTTTTAAAAAATTTTGTAAACTGTTTTAAATGCAACAAAAAGAACTTGCCTTATGGGATCGTAAGCATAAGACTTCACTAAATCAGTGTTTCCCAAGCATAGTCCAATATCAGAAATCCATTTGGTCTGTGCAGCGGACAAAGGAACCTGACCTCAAACGTTTGAAAAGTTCAAGAGAGTGTTTTTTTTTAAATTTGTATTCTGTAAAAGCATAAATGCCTACCAAGCTCTTAGGCACTTAAGGTAAATATGTTCACTGTAGACAGAGTGCTAACACAATTTTGATAAGTATTTATGTCATGTTATGGTGGTTCTTTGTTTTTCTTGCAGATTTCTAGCCAGCATAATGCTGGAGCAAGAGCTGGGCAACCTGCAGTTTTCAAAATGGCAGAGTTGGACACCGATTTGGACCATATCATCCCATCTTCTGTGCTTCCTGCCTTCTGGCCTAAGTTAGTAGTAGGACTGGTTTCCCTCATGTGCTTTGCATACAGCTATGATGGAGATTTTGTCTTTGATGATTCTGAAGCAATTGTTAACAATAAGGTCAGTGTCTTAATTCTGGTAAACTTAGCAAACCACTTTCCTGTGTTTAGTTGCCTGCAAGTCTATTCCAACTCATAGTAGCCCTGTGTATGTAAATAGAACTGCCTCTGGGGCTATTTCCAGGCTGGGTAGATGAACTGACTGGCTGGATTCTGCTAAAGTGTATTTTCTGATTTAGGGTTGAGACTAGGGTGTTGCTTTTGTTCACACTAGGATGTGAGCTGATTGGATTTGGCCTTGTATTTAGAAAGGCTTTTTGTGGATCTCTCTAATAAAACAGGCTTGGAATCAGGGCATCCACTTACAAAGAAAAGCTTGCCTCTGGAAACTTGTCAACTTGGAGAAAAGATGAAAGTTTCGTGTTCAAGACTTTTATTCAGAGTCACTGTGGGTCGTCTGTGACTTGACAGCACTTAATAATAGCAACAACATGTTACCCCATAGGGTTATGTAGTGTGTTAGGTGTTGTGCTGCTAACCTGTTCAGATCCACCAGCTACTCTACGGAAGAAAGAAGGGCAGACACCTCTTATAAGGATATACAGCCTCAGAAATCCAGTGGAGGATAACTATTAGTTAGCTAATGACAGTGACTGTTGTTATTGTTGTTGATAGGTGTCATCGAGTCAGTTATAACTCACAACGGCCCTGTAAACAACAGAACATTGCCCTATCCTGTGCCATCCTCACCATCTCTGATACGCTTGAGTCCTTTGGACTGACTGTGTCAGTCCATCTTGTCGAGGTCTTCCTTACTTTCTTTGACTCTCCAGCAAGATGTCCTCTTTTAAGGACTGGACCCACCGAAAGAAAACATGATGCAAGTATGTGAGATGAAGTTTGCACTATCTTTGATTCTCAGGAGCACCCTAGTTATACTTTCTCCAAGACAGAGTTAACATGTTCTTTTAGCAGTCCATGGAATATTTAGAATTCCTCTCCATCACCAAAATTCAAAAGCATCCTTATTCATTGTTCAGCTTTCAATTGCATAGGAAATAATTGAAAAGAACATGGCTTGCATCTGCTGCACCTTAGTCTTTAAACCGACATCACTTAGTCTTTAAACTGACAACCGTGGCAGTGGCAGCTTTTATTAAAGTTTCCAAGACTAAGCTTTTGGAAGTAAAAGTTCATCCACGGCGCCTGTGAATGAGTTTGAACTGCCAGCTTTTCACCTAGTGCTTAATGTTTGCCCCATCCAGGTGCTCATCACCTCAGTACCTGCGTCTCAATTCTCAATAGTAATTTAAATGTGTTTATATTCTCTATTCCATTTAAGTAAACCATTTTCTGGACTCCTGTGGTAGTTTGAACGTCCCATCTCTCTTAGATATCATCTTGACTTAGTGCCCGTGTTATTGCTAGCTTCAAGATGCTCAATCCTTGCCCAACCTCAGGTTTAATTGCACTCTGCACATCAAAGGATGCCCCAGCCCATAACTTTATCAGAGGACCCATTCTTCTAAAACAACAAGGCAAGGGTGATGGCATTGCAGACTCAATAATTCAGGTCTTGGAAAATTTTTCTAGGACTCCAAGTCATAACAGTGGCTTTAAAAAAATAAAAATCATGTATTTGCTCTAGTCTTGGGCAAGATCCCCTGAAGCAAGGTAAATTCTTAGCAGCAGACAGGGAGCTTGCTTGTTTGTCCTTCAGCGATAGCATCAGGACAGGCTGCTGACAGCTGCCGGGGGAAGAGTGGTGTGCCACGCACACATGCAGCCATTCTGCTCGCTTCATGTTTGGAGATTCAAATTTGCTGAATTTGTGAAAATCCAAATCTGTTTTTGCTTACCAGTGGGTGCTCTATCAGGGCAGAAGAAATGATATTTTTCTTCACTGCTAATGAGAATTAGGAAAGGAGAAATAGGTTTCTTCTGTGAAGGAAAGTAAAAAAATAAAAAAGCTGAAAGAATATCAGAAAGAGCAAATGGAGAGCAGGGAAGGCCCAGGGGCAAAGCACGTGGTTGAATCTCTGCTTAGGGTCTTTTCTGAGAACCATTAATCTACTTACTTAGCAGCTGTTTTTTTATGTGTGTGCTTTGTGGCATAGTGCATAACGCATCAGACTTTTAACCTAAAGGTGGGCAGTTTGAATCCAGCAGAGGCGAGACCAACTCTACAGTAATGGGCTTAACCCTAGGGAAAGGACTGTAAGGGGTATGTGCTGAGCTAATTTCTAGTAGATATGATTGTAATAACTCTTTGTAACATTGTTGTTGACTGCTCAGGAAAAAAAAAGTTGTGGATTTCATAACATAAATGTAATAACTCTTTGTAACATTGTTGTTGACTGCTCAGGAAAAAAAAAGTTGTGGATTTCATAACATAAGGACAAATAGTTTTTATATTGCATGTATTGAAAAGAATTATGTGACAGTAGTATGATACTGTGGGGAAAATGACTATTTGGCAGAAATGTAATGCATAGCAATATCAAGATTAATCTTCATTGTGATGATATAAATTGCATACAGCATTATTGATGTTTGATGTAATAAAATTATTTTGTTGTCATTTTCCTCAATTAATCCAGCAATTACTATAGGTGTTTCTATTTCAGTACTTGTATTTAACCTTGCCTGAAAACAAGGCCTGGTGGTAAGAAGCTGTGCTACAATTCCAAAGGTGCATGTTTTGAATCTACCAGCTTCTCTTGAAAAAGGATGGACAGCCTCCTCCCATGCGATTTACTGCCTCTGAAAACCCCCGCTGAAGGATTAGCTATTCGTGGTTTTGACTCAGCGGCACACAAGGACACAAGCAAGACAGACGCTTATAGCTTTAAACTCAAAACCAAAACACTCAACTGCCATCAGGTTGTTTCCAGCTCACAGTGACCCTGTCTGATTGAGTAGAACTGGCCTGTAGGATTTCTAAGTCCACAGTCTTTATGGAAGCCTACTGCTGAATCTTTCTCCTGCACAGCAGCTGGTGGGTTCAAACTGCTGACCTTTTTGATTAGAAGCCAAACATTTTAACCACTGCACTAATACAGCTTCTTGTCGCTCTAAGTAACTCCATCAGATTGGTGGCTTAATATCTACAGAATTTTTTTAACAAGCTGTTACTGTAAATATTTGTGTGTGTGTGTGTATTATAAATGTGTAAATTCTGTTAATCACGTTGCTAAGGATTTCTTAGTAGAAGACGTATAAAGTTCTAGCTCAGAATTTATGTTTCGAAAACATTAGTCAGCAAAGCAGGATATAAATGTGAGCATTGTTCGATGTGGGCACCCGTTTGTATATGAGTGTCATTCCGTCTCTGAATTGAAGCAGATGAAGCCACTTTGTGGTGCACTGGGTGTTGTCTTGGCATGTTCTCTGGCACACCACACTGTGCCCCTTTTGTTAACTTGCTCACTCTCCCTTTTTTCTTCCTGTTTAATGAGAGGCATGCCTCTACATATTGGCTCTGTGCCCACTGTAAAGTGAAACAGGCTGTTACTGGGTTTTATTGGTGTTAAAGACTGTTTTCCAGATGCTTCCTCGAAGTGTTGAGTTGCCTTTTTTCGTTCACTAAGATGATGGTTTTCTTTGAGACAGTTGAGTTAGCAGGAATTTCAGGCACATACATCTTTTCCATAAATCATTATGAGAGAAAAAAATATTGACCTTTCTTCAAGTAGCACACCCTGCTGTGTGTAGGCTACACCTAATCAAATATTTAAAACGTCTCTGGTGTTCATTTTCTGTTCTAATAGAGGAAAAGCTCTTGTGCCCAACTCCTTCACAACTCGATGGGCACATTTGTGACGATGCAAAAGAACTCCCAATTTATAACTGGGTTAAACTAAGACATGACCCCCACAAAATACCTAACTAAATCTTCAGGAGTCTGTTATACTCAAAGCCTCAAGAGCCACTCCATGGAAGTGAAATCAGGCCTCGCAGCTTGGGGTCAGGTAGCCCACCAGCAGCATCACCTGTTCTTAGGGCCTTCCTTGACCCGGCCAGCACGTAAGCAGCAAATACTTTTTAAACTCTGCTGCGTGTGGTGAGCAGTGGGCATTCATTGCTGTTTGGGTTATCCATCATTTGACACACGTACAGTTCTTCTGTTTGAGACATTGCTCTCCTGATGATTCTTAGAAGCTGGACAGGTTAAGTTGCAGGCTCAGACACCGGGCCCTGCACCACACCCCCCTGCCTTGTTGGAATGAGGAGCTGGTCATGGACAGAGCTGAGGTCCCCAGACGAGGGAGGCTGGGTAGTTCCCTTAAGATGTCAGGTAGTATGAGTCACCTGGTGGTGTGATTCATGTTTGTGTTCCTGACTGCTTAGCCCTGAACTTACTTTCTCCGCCTTTCTAGTGAGTCTGTAAGCCTTTCTTTTCTGTCTTTTCATTTATTATGTTTGTAGAAGTTTACAGAGGAAATTAGTTTTTCATGAAACAATTTATAAACATTTTGTTTTGTAAAATTAGTTGCAGCCTCCCAACTCCCTCCCTGGGCTCCCTGAATATATTGGTCCTTTCCTTCCCCTTTCTGCCTTTTTAGATTTGGGGGAAATGCTGCCTTTTGCTCTCCTGTGAGTAGTGATTGTTCTGAGGAGTATGTTCTGTCTGTGGACCTTTATTGTTCTCTAACATGATCCTGTTTTCCTTAAACCCATCACAGTTAGTTTTAGTTTTGCAATGGAATGGAGAATTTTGACTGATATTCTGGCGAATGCTTTGTTGTTGTTAGGTGCCAGCAAGTCAACTCTAACCCATGGATCCCCCCCCCCCCCCATGAATGACAGGTGAAAACTTGCCCTGTCCTGTGCGGTGCTCATGGTCTCTGCCAGGCTCAGGTTGTTGTTATAGATCAGTCCTTTTCCTTGAGAATCCTCTCTCTTTCATGGACCCTCTACTTTCTTCAGCATAATGTCTTTTTCCAAGGAGCAGGAGGGTCGGCGAAGGAAAGGAAGTTGCTCAAACAGGTGGATTGACACAGTGACTGTCACAGAGGGCTCTAGTGTGTCAGGAAGTGTGAAGATGCCACAGGATAGGAA